TTCAGCCTGTTGGCTAAATGAGTAGCATAAAGTTTGCCTATAACAGAGAGTAAATATACAAAAAGAGACTTCAGCAAAGTGAAACACATATGTAGTCAGCAATAAATCTATATATAAAATCCACCATAGGAAATATATAAGTCTACAGAATGCATCAAGTCCAAAGGAGATATCCAACACTTTTCCTAGGTAGTATACAGTGTTTCAGACTTCTGGTCCTTCCTCAGGAACAAAGAGCCACAATAGAAAGTCTCATTTCAATTTCTTTACAAGACAATATTGTTCAGTTTCCTTATGGGCCAGGTCTCCTAAGCTTGAAAGTGCACCTCTCAAGGTTGCTACTATGTAGAACAGAAAGGAGGCATTTTTGGTCCTGTTCTACATAGTAACAACCTTGAGAGATGCACTAAGGAAGTTCTTCAGGGTGGTGAAAACCAGTGAGGATTGTGAGGCACTCCAAAGGGAACTGCCCCAATGTGGCCAAGTGCAAGGTGATGCACATTGGAGCCAAAAATCCTAAATATTAATACACATTGATGGGGTCTGAACTGGCAGAGACTGATCAAGAGAGAGATCTTGGAGCTGTAGTAGATAACTCACTGAAAATGTCGAGACAGTGTGTGACTGCAATAAAAAAGGCTAATGCTATGCTGGGGATTATTAGGAAGGGTATTGAAAACAGATCAGCCAATATTAGGTTAAAGCGCTTAGGGCTCTTTAGGTTGGAGAAACGATGACTGAGGGGTGACATGATTGTGGTTTATAAGATTATGCATGGAATAGAGCAGGTAGAGAAAGGTACTTTTCTCCCTTTCTCACAATACAAGAACTCATGGGCACTCAATGAAATTGCTGAGCGGTCAGGTTAGAACAGATAAAAGGAAGTACTTCTTCACCAAAAGAGTGATTAACACATTGAATTCACTGCCACAGGAAGTGGTGGTGGCTACAAGCATGGACGGCTTCAAAAGGAAATTAGATAAGCATATGGAGCAGAGGTCCTTCAGAGGCTATTAGCCACAAGGTATAGATAGGCACTCAGGGACAAGTGATGCTCTGTCTTCTTGGTGCTTGGGGGGGGGTCAACAGTGGGAGGGCTTCTAATGTCCTGGCCTCACTGGTGGACCTCCTGATGGCACCTGGTATTTTTGGCCACTGTGTGATACAGAGTGTTGGACTGGATGGGCCTTTGGCCTGATCCAACATTGGCGTCTCTTATGTTCTTATGTTCTTATCAGATTAAGAAACAGGAAGAAAAGATGAAACAGGATCCTTCAACTGAACAGAAAAAAATTAAAGTTACACTTCTGCAACATCAAATGAACTGTCTATTAACACAGGAAATAGCAACAAAAATAATGTATGTCAAACAAAATTATTTTGAAAATGCCAATAAACCAACCAGATGGTTAGCATAGAAATTACGTAAAGAAAAGGGGGGAAAGGTATATAAAAACACTTAAAAACGATATGGAAGAAGAAATAAATAAATTGGAAGACTTGAAAAATCTAGTTGAATCATATGAAAATGTGTATAAGAAAAGAGAAGCATCACAGGAACAAATTAGAAAATATTTTGAAGCTCACAAAATTAAAATATTTTCAGAAGATCAAAGGAAAATATTAAACGACCCAGTATCGTTCGCTGAAGTGACAGAAGCATTTTTTGGGGGGGAGGCAAAACACCTGGACTGGATGGACTTCCTGCGGAATTGATCGGCCCATTAAAAGCTGTTATACAAAATATAACAACCAAAGAGGAAACTCCAGATTCTTGGAATGAAGCTCTGATAACACATATACAAGCAAAACTCAAATGAAAAATAAATTAAAAATGATAGACCAATCTCCCTGTTAAATGTGGATTATAAAATGTATGCTTCTATTTTAGCTACAAGAATGAAAAGAGTTCTTTTTCAAATGATACATAAAGATCAAACAGGCTTTCTTCCCAAAAGACAACTTAGAAACAATGTGAGAATGATATTGAATGTTTTAGAGTATTACGAAGCTCACCCTGAAAAACAAATGGCTTTAATTTTTTTAGATGCAAAAAAAGCCTTTGACAACATCAGTTGGAATTTCACGTTTGAAATTCTCAAGCTGGTATGGAATTTTATAAAATGATCAAAGCAATTTACACTAAACAACTTGCCAAGATTCTTATCAACTGAGATCTATCACAAAGCATAGAGACACACAAAGGAACCAGACAAGGATGTCCCCTTTCACCTTTATTGTTTATTTTTGCTCTTGAAGTTTTAAATGATGTGATTAGAGTGGATGTGCAAATTAAAGGTCTTGGACTAAGAGGAGAAGAATATAAACTCCAAGCATTTGCAGATGACCTAGTATTTATTTTAGATAATCCATCAAGCTGTATAAAACAATTGATAAACTCTTTGCAAGACTATGGAGAGGTGGCAGGACTTAAAATTAATTGTAAAAAAAAATGCTTACAAAAATGACAATCTCAAGCCCAACAACTGCAAGAAATAGCAGGTTTAGAAATTCAAAAGGTCATCAAATATTTAGGAATAAACATAACAAATAGATGCAGTTCTTTGATGGAAAATAACTATATGAAACTGATGAAAGAAATTAAGAAAGATTTGGAAAAATGGGAAAGTCTTCAAATATCTTTAATGGGAAGAATTGCTACTATCAAAATGAATATATTACCAAGACTGATCTTCCTATTTCAAACAATACCTATCCTTCAAAATAAAAAATATTTTAAAGAACTTGATAAAATGATGTTACAATTTATTTGGCAAGGTAAAAAAAACCCAAGAATTAAGCTGGCAAGATGCCAGAGAGAGCAGGCTTCGCATTACCTGACTGGTTGCTTTATTATAGAGCAGCGGCTCTGACATGGATAAAAGACTGGATTACTCTAGCAAATACAAGACTCTTGAAAATAGAAGGGCATGATCTTATGTTAGGTTGGCATGCCTTTCTGTGGTACGGGAGGGCAACTATTCACAAATATTTCAAACAACATTTTATTAGAGCCTCTTTATTGAAGGTATGGGAAGAAGCTAAAAACTATTTGTACACCAAGATCCCCAAATGGGTTGCTCCGTTAGAAGCTATTACAAATCCTAATTTATTTCAAGAAGAAACAATCTTAAGATATGAAGACTTATTAGACAGCAGAAATGAATTGAAACCATAGAAACTTTAATATGGTGGCAAAAAGCTCAAATTCAATCAAGATATAATAAAGACAAGCCGACAGGTTTTTATGACAAAATATTAGAGATAGATAAGATATTGATGTACGCTGATGAGAAACTTATTAAGAAATGTTATACATTGCTTTTAAAAAATAAGACCCAAGATGAAGTGGTTAAAGATGTTATGATAAAGTGGGCACAAATCTATGTCATACTATTGAGTTAGACCAGTGGTCACAGATGTGGGGAATAATGTAAAAATCACTAAAGCAATTTCATATAAGGAAAATGTGTATACAATGTTTTATAGATGGTATATTACGCTTGATAAACTGGCCAAATTTGATTTTAAATGTTCAAATCTATGTTGGAAGTGTCAAAATAATCTGGGATCCTTTTATCATATCTGGTGGTTATGTGATAAAGCAAAAAAAAATTACAAAAATTTTACAAAAACGTTAAAATACTTGGTTCCCTTTGTCCCAGAAATATTTCTGTTGAACATTTTACCTGAAAATTGTAAAAGAAATGACTCTTATATTTCATTTGACTACAACTGCTAGAATACTTTATGCCAAATATTGGAGAAGAACAGAAACACCTTCGCAAAATTTTGGAAACTGTGGAAATGAACAAACTAACTTTAATTTTGAAAGGACATCTAAAAACTACATTTGAAAATACATGGTCAAGATTTTATAAGTGGTATGAAGGCTATACTAAGTAAAATATAGACATTTTAAATGTGTTAAGGACATACAATGGGCTTGAATGGGAAAGATTGAAGTTCAAAGAAGACGGGGACGGCAAAGGATGAGATGGTTAGACAGTGTCATAGATGCAACAAACATGAAGTTGAGCCAACTTCAGAGGACGGCAGAAGACAGGAGGGCCTGGCATGATCTGGTCCATGGGGTCACAAAGCAGACTCGACTGTGCGACTGAACAACAACAAGGACATACAAAGTTAAAATTTGATATATTTCAACTGGTATTCTTAACGATATAAGGTGAAATATACAAATACATGATAATTTAGGCATGGGTTTGTCAAAGAAGAAATTGAAAGAAAAGTTTCCCCCTTTTATGTTTGTGATATCTTTAAAAGAAAAAGAACTGTGGGGAAATTTTTTACCAAATTTCAAACCAACTTGGGGGGGGGGGGAATTCTCCAGCCTTGTTCCTGTTCATATATCATATGAAACCGTTGTTAAACTAATTGTGATTAATAAGCCAACTGCAAATCATTTCCCATCCTAGTTTGATGTATTTCCTAGCTATCCCTAGTTAGTGAAGTGGCCCTTTTATTTTGGTATTTACTTCATTTATAGTCCATCTATCTCATTGAGATTCATGTCTGGATCATTACACTAATCATGGTTAATTGTAATTAAGCCATGGTTTTTCAAGACTTATGAGCTGAGATTTACAGCTTGTACTTTTCCTCCAAATGAGATGTGGAAGCCCACTTCAAATTCTGGCTTTTAGTAGTACTTTGTAAGAGAGAGAACTCACCATTATCTATTAATTCAGGCATCAAAAGCAGCTAGGTTTGAGCTAAAAAAAGAACTGAAAAACTGAAAATAAAGGCCCAGCTCCAGTCTTCAAAACAGGGTTTGGAGGATCACCATAACTCGGAATGCTTAGAAAATCTCTTCTGTTTTGTCACAGTTCCCTCTGATGGTATTCCACAAGAGCACAAACTGACAGCTAGGGTTTGATCAAATGGGTTCCCACTAGCATATCTGTAGTTTTGAGTAAAGAGCTGAGAAGAGGGACTGATCAGCATGGATATTAATTATTATATTTTTTGTTTGATAGATAACATCTCATCTCTGCCAAACATCATTCCTCTCTTTATCAGCATTGATCCAGAAAGAGATACTAAAGAAGCCATTGCCAGATATGTTAAAGGTACTGAGTCTCCTTACCTGGTATTGTATATCTTGACTTTTTAATTCTGTTGCCTTGTGACTGTATGTGTAGACTAGATTTTGCAGCAATGGAAGAGCATCATTTGATTCCTCTAATGTAAGCTCCATTTTTTTAAATTGAAGAGTTTTCACCCAAGCTGGTTGGATTGACGGGTACCAAAGAACAGATTGATCTGGTATCTCGAGCATACCGTGTCTATTACAGCCCTGGGCCAAAAGATGAAGATAATGATTATATAGTAAGTGCATATAATTTTCACAGTTATATCACAAGTAGATAATGCTGGAGAAAGGAGGTTTTTTTAATTATTGGAACAGCCAAAGAGCAGACAAAATGATAGTTCTAACTAAGGTACTGAGGAGGGTGGGTTAAGATGAAGGTCAACAAAGCTAATAGGTAGTTGGGAAGGCACTAATGGAAAATAGTTTGGTTATTTAAAAAATGTCTTTGCTACCTTTCCAGAGACTCTGCTCAAGGTAGATTACAAAGAATGAGTATAACTTCTTCATGACAAGAGAACTTTCAATGTAGGACTGTAGAATTTCAGCAGCTGGTGGTATACTTAAGTTTGGAGGACTCCCATAATGAGTGTGCTGGACAGCACTTGCTAAGGTGTCTGTTTTCATTTGGGCCCAGAGAAGCTGTGTCTGTTCTCTAATTTTTCAGCCCATTCCTATTGCATTGTTTGCATATATTGTTTTCATTTGTGTAATCCGCTTTGGGTCTCAGCCAGAAAGGTGAACTGTAACTGAAGAAAATAAAATAAACTGCGTAGGTTGGCACAGGTGCCATTGAGGTAGGTATTGCTGCTCAAAATGAAGACTGAAGTGTTGCTTTGCATATTTACTTACCTTGAAAGGTTCATAATATTGTGGTGTGACGGGTAGAAAAGCTCTTTATCTCCAGCAGCCTTTCCTTGCCAATGTGTTCACTATGAGCTTTTTGTGAAGTGTTCTTTGTATTAATATTTGCAATTATTAGCACTTTAGCCAGGAGGGGGAGCCAGATAACAAATGACAGATGGTTTTCCCTGATTGTCCAATCTACTGTTTACTATTTCATTTTCTGGTGATTAGATTTTACCTCTTTTAAAATGAAATAATCCAAAACTTGTAAGCTTTGTACTCACTGCATATCTAAAATGCAGTCAGTTCATCCCATTGACACCACAGTAATGAACAACTGACATGAAACAGAAATTCGTGTAATGCTGACTAAACAGTAACTCAAAAGATAGCCTCCTCCCTCTGCCTCAGTTATACAGTGGTGATCTTGTTCCTCTCCGAGCAACGCTAGTAGGAGCCTCTATACCTTACCTTATTTAACTTCCATCAAATTCTATGTACTATTGAGGATGGCAAAAAGAGGTCTTACATATTCCTGTTTCCAGAAGGATGATCTTCAAGAAACAGCCAGTGAACTAGTGTGAGGGATAGTATTCCCTCAAGGGTTTCCTAGTATAATTAGACAGGGAGGAGACTTGTTAAGCCAGCCTTTTGTTTGATAGGTATGACTAATGCTCAGAGATTAGTATAAGAATCTCTTGTTTTGTATATGTATTATGGTTCAGGATGGACCCTCCTGCACATCTGGGAATTTCTAGTTGACCATTTAAAGTCGGATGTCTTTTTAAAAGCTTGCTTTCCCCTCAACAGACAGGTATTCCAAAGAACAGCATTGAGGGGTTTCTTTCTTCTTCAGGGTTTGACTGCTTTGATGGTCCTGTGTTGCGGTATTATTTTTGCCCAGCTTTATGTCCTTGTGTTTTTCTGATGTGGAACGCATCATGTCTGAGATGTTCCTCTACTGTGTGTTAAGACCTTGAAGAAATCAAGAGCTGGAGTGGCATTCTGATCGGTGGTCTGAGGGGCTGACTTGCTACTGAGTATCCTCTCAATTTGTCTTGTGTATTCTTTTGCAGGTAGATCACACCATCATAATGTATCTTGTTGGGCCAGATGGGGGCTTTGTTGATTATTATGGCCAAAACAAGAAGCATTCTGAGATTGCAGCTTCAATTGCTGGGCACATGAGACAGTATAAACCGAGCTAAGGGACAGGAAGCTTCCGGCTACAAGGCAAGCAAGAGGAAGCAGAGTTCTGCAAGCAGTTTGTCTTAGCACTTTCCTTATGGCCTTGAACTTGCAACAAAAATTATGCCTACAGGAAAACGCTTTAACCTGGACTAAATAAAGAACCTACATGGAAGGAACAAACGTGGAAGAATGCTTTTCTTTGAATGTGCCTTAAATTTGTAATTGTTAAAGTTTAAGAGGGGCCGTAATGAAGAGTTTCCTCTTAAAAGACGACTGCTTCTAAATGTTGGTCACTGAAACCTTGGAATCTTTCCCCACCCTTGTAGTGTATGTTCTTGCCCACTTGAATAGACACATGTGGAGTAAGAAGCAAATCCCAACAGGGCTGAAGGCACTGTTCACAGGACCAGCCTTTTCTGGCACCTGAGCATCATTGGCGAGTACATAAGAACATAAAATAAGCCAATCTTGGATTAGGCCACTGGCCCATCCAGTCCAACACTCTATCACACAGGGGTCAAAAATACCAGGTGCCATCAGGAGGTCCATAAGTGGGGCCAGGACACTAGAAGCTCTCCCACTGTCCCCCCACCCCCAAACACCAAGAATACAGAGCATCACTTGCTCCAGAGTTCCTATCTGTACCTTGTGGCTAATAGCCACTGATGGATCTCTGCTCCATATGTTTGTCTAATTCCCTCTTGAAGCTGTCCATGCTTGTAGCTGCCACCACCTCCTGTGGCAGTGAATTCCATGTGTTAATCACTCTTTGGGTGAAGAAGTACCTCCTTTTATCTGTTCTAACTCAACTGCTCAGCGATTTCATTGAGTGCCCACAAGTTCTTGTATTGTGAGAAAGGGAGAAAAGTACTTCTTTCTCTACCCGCTCTATCCCATCCATAATCTTACAAACCTCAATCATGTCACCCCTCAGTCGTCGTTTCTCCAAGCTAAAGAGTCCCAAGTGTTTTAACCTTTCTTCATAGGGAAAGTGTTCCAACCCTTTTATCGTTCTGGTTGCCCTTTTCTGTACTTTTTCCAATGCTATAATATCCTTTTTGAGGTTTGGTGACCAGAACTGTACACAGTACTCCAAATGAGGTCGCACCGTTGATTTATACAGGGGCTTTATGATACTGGCTGATTTGTTTTCAGTTCCCTTCCTAATAATCCCCAGCATAGTGTTGGCCTTTTTTATTGCAGTCGCACACTGTCTCGACATTTTCAGTGAGTTATCTACTATAACTCCAAGATATCTCTCTTGGTCAGTCTCTGCCAGTTTGGACCCCATCAACGTGTATTTATAGTTAGGATTTTTGGCTCCAATGTGCATCACTTTGCACTTGGCCACATTGAACCCCATTTGCCATGTTGATGCCCACTCACCCATCCTCGACAAACCCCTTTGGGGTGCCTCACAATCCTGCATGTTTTTTACCACCCTGAACAACTTCGTGTCATCCACAAATTTAGCCACTTCACTGCTTACTCCCAACTACAAATCATTAATGAACAAGTTAAAAAGCATCAGACCAAGTACTGATCCCTGTGGTACCCCACTGCTTACCACCCTCCACTGAGAAAATTGCCCATTTATATACTCACTCTCTATTTCCTATTAATTAGCCAGTTTTTTATCCACAAAAGGTCCACATCAGTGGACAATTCTAATCCATTTCCTTGTAGAAAAGTAACAGCTACCCCTTCATCTCTTTGAGATTAGCCATCCCGAACCTGAGACTTTTCATCTCCTGTCGGCTTTTCCCCAATATTCAGTTTTAAAACTGCTCTGCCACCTTTTTTATTTTAAGCGCCAGCAGCTTGGTTCCTTCTCAGGACAAGTGGAGACCGTCTGTTTTGTACAGCTCCCTCTTGTTCCAAAAAGCATCCCAGTGCCTAACAAACTTGAACCCTTCCCCCTGCACCATCATCTCATCCACACATTGAGACTCCTGATCTGTGCCTGTCTCTCCAGCCCTGTGCGTGGAACAGATAGCACTTCTGAGAATGCTACCTTGGGAGGCCCTGGCCTTGAGTTTCCTGCCTAGCAGCCTAAATTTTTCCTCCAGGCCCCCACGACTGCATTTCCCCTACATCGTTGGTGCCAACATGTACCACAGCTACTGGCTCCTCCCCAGCACTATCTACCAGCCTATCTAGAACACGTGTAATGTCCGCTACCTTCACACCAGGCAGGCAAGTCATCATAGAGTCAGTACGCAGGTTCGCCACCCAGCTGTCTACCCGCCTAAGGATCGAATCACCAACTGCCAAGAGCCCCCCTCCCTCCCTGCCAAGGGATGGTTCCTTGGTGCGAAAGGATACCCATTCACCAGTTGAAGAAGAGGTTCCTTCTGAGGGCACATTCCCCTTATCCTCAGCATGGTACCCGGTTCCTCTTGACCCTCATGGTCCCTCACAGCGGTGGGGCTGCCATATTCAGAGTGGGACATATCTAACAAGGATGTATCTAAACACAAGGAAATGCGGAAAACCCTCACTCTGCCTTTGCCCAGCAGGACTATGTTTTCAGCATAACTTCCAAGGGAGCACTTCTTCACAGTCATAGGAGCTTTCTTGTTGTTGTTTTGAAATGGTGTTTCATATGGCAGTAGAGGGCTAAGTAGCATGATAAAGATTAATTGAATGTAAAGAATATTGATCATGTATATAGTGTGTTGTAAATTGCATTCAGTGTGCAGATGATGAAATAAAGTGAGAGAAAACTAGAACCTGTTCTGTCTTGAAATCTCACATTTAGTGAATGAGTGAATTTAGTTCTTAAAAGCATGACTAATCTGTCCCTAGTGCCTTCTGAGTTGACTGATATTCATTGACGGAGACAAGATCAGCATTCGCAGAGTCTGTGGATGGGTGCTCTAAATATATCAGACAAGCTTAATTTTTCAATGATGGACGATTGTACAGTACTGAGCTGCACTCAGTTTGCCACAAATTCACATGGACAGAAAAGTAAGCTTTTAGACTAGCTCCAAAGAGGTGGAAATGCTTGTGAGCCGGTTCCTTAGCTATAGGATGCAGAATGTACATCATCATGTTCATCGTGAACAAATGGTCACGTTGACAAAAATCTTGCACAGCATTTGAGTAATTGGAGGAACTCTCTGGGGAAACCGGTGGCAGGCTGCTGTGCACCTGCTTCCCTGAGTGCTTGGCCTGCATTCATTTCTTTGTTTTGAACAGCGTGTGTCTAAAAAGGGGTCATTCCTTTGGAATGTAGCAGGGTTTCATCAGGAAGAGACATCGTAATATAAGAAGATTCCCAGGGAACTGAAATATCTTCTCTGCTTCTGAGATGCCTGATAGATTAAAGAAGACTGCCTTTTTTTGACCAGGTGCCCACTAAGAATTTCCTTGAGTGCTTTTGTGACATTTGCAGAATTTAACCTTCATTCTCAGCTGTTAAGGGTTCTATGCAGAGGCAGCTCTTTCCCCTTCTTTACATTGCCAGTATGTTTCAGAAAGAGAAGACCATTTGATACCTCTGAAGGATTCAAGCTACTAAAGTAAATGAACCTGAATTCAGCTCTTGTGTTTCTAGGCGTGTGTGTGCATGAGCATGGTTGTCAATCCATTTTACAGTTCCTTGTTGGGGAAGAGAACTAAAGTCACATATTCAAAGTATATATAGTATTTAAAATTCTTTAACCCAAAAAATATGAAGTTTACTGGAAGATCTGAACGTTGCATGTCTCGGAGTTCCTTACTTTTCCAGACTGTTAACAGGGTTTGGATGTCTGACTGTATTCCCCCTGGGAATAAAGACTACCAAACTCCTCCAGGCAGTCCAAGAATGGGTCTAGATCTTCAAAATTCCTTACAGATTTTTATTCTGATAACACCAGAAAAAGGATTTTCCAGGGTCGGTTATTGGAATCTCACTGCAGCCTCACAACCCAATCACAATACATTTGGGAAGAAGAGAGGGATTGCAGTAAAAGAGGCCTTGTTTCCAGTTTGGGTTTTGTAAGTGACAAGTAAGTTTTGAATAACAACAAACCTCTCTTGTTGGTGCCTTTAGAAAAATGAACCCATATTGGAGCTAAGCCTTAAGCTAAAACCACCAAAGAAGGCATTTTCAGGAAATGCAGGCCATAAGAAAAGTGATAATGCAGCGTTATTCTTGTGAAAAGCAGACTGGAATGTTTCAATTAAATCCATTGCACTTTGTGATAATTTTTGTTTTATCCCATACACTTTAGCATGAGCACTTTTCATGGAAAGAATCCCTTGTCCTAGGCAGAGGTTATCAGAAAGACAGTTTTTTAAGCTCTTTTTCACAGGAACAAACTTTCCTGTTTTTTGTACAAGCTTAAGGCTTGCAGCTCTACCTGTAAGCCGAACCAGGACTTTGGTCATGAACTGAAATTTTTGCAAACTTCCAGAATTGTAAACTTCCAAAACTGAATCATATGACTGCTCTGATGCGTCCAGTCCCCTATCCGATTCCATGGAGCTCAGGACAATTCCCATTTAATCACTACATCTACTCTATGAGGTGGGCTAGGCTGAAGGCAAGTGACTGCCCCGTGTCACACACTGAGCATTATGGATGAGTGGGGATCTGTCTTCTAGGTCTTCATCTGATATTAAGTACTGCACCATACTAGCTCTTAATTTGTTGTTGTAGCATTTATAACTATAGTTACAAAGCACTTTAGTTTCATTCTCAATATCTAGAGTGCTTGAAACAATATACTGTTGAATCAGGGAGCCAGCCTTTTGTCGGTGAGAGCTACTTTCTGAGGTAAATGAACCTCAGAGCTACAGGGGAGAGGGGTGCAGGGGTCCCAACTGATGGGACCAGGATGCACCCTGACTCAAAGAGCTGATAGGGCATGCCCCTAGCCTTATCAGCTATTTTATGTTGAACTAGAAGAAAGACTCGTTGCGGAAATGAAGGCAATGAGCTCTAGGAAGAGGGCCCGGGTGAGTGCGATGTCCCGCTCACCCACTTTGGCGAGGGAGCAAGAGAAGCAATGGGGAGGCATCTAAATGGCTCCCCGCTTCCTCGTGGGCCCTTCCTGGCTTACCTACCTCAGCAGGTGGGGCGGGAGGGGGCTCTGGGAGCCTTTGGAGAGCCTGCTTCAGTGGGTGAGCAGGAGAAGCAACGGGGGGGCTTTTAAATGCCTCCTCGCTCCCTCGCGGGCCCTCCTGGCTCACCAGCCTCAGTGGGCGGGCCAGGAAGGGGTGGGAGGGGACTCTGGGAGCCTTCTGCTCGTCTGCTTTGGTGGGCAGGCAGGAGAAGCAATGGGGGGGGCTTTTAAATACTTCCTCCTCCCTCCCGGGCCCTTCCTGGCCCGCCCGCTGAGGCAGGCGAACCAGGAAGGGGCGGGAGGGGGCTCTGGGAGGGGGGGCTCCGCCTCAGGGAAAGGTGGTGCAGGGGCCTCCGGAGGCCTTTCCCCACCCATCCACCTCAGCGGGCGAGCAGGGAAAGGTCGTGCGGGGCCAGAGGCCTTTCCCTGCCCTTCC